GCTATATCATACACTTGGAAAATTATGAGCTATATCACCGCTTATCGACACTAGGGGTGTGACAATAAACTTAGCTCACGAGATGAGACAAAATGAATATACTTGGTTCAATAGAACGAGACAATGTTTTAATACTTTAAGAAATATTTGAATGACAAAATATTTGTCTTTTAATTACAAAAAGTAGAACAATGCAGATATATTTTGAAATGTTTTAACAAATCTAGGGCTTAACTAACAATTATTTTGCTAATCAAGTAATCTACTGATTACAGCACACAGTGAAAATGACATGAATATGACATTGGGCAAAAGCATGAAGCGCAGCATAATTTGAAATCATGAGTTTAAAGTTTGTCAATCGCGCGACTCAATGAAGCTGAACTCTCCTCCTGTTCGCATTCAATTCACACGGACCGACCGTCACGCAGAGAACACGCGATCATGCAGGTCACATGCACACTTCACAAGATCTCACAACTGGATTCGACTAAGTTTGCAAGGTTTTTGAAATTAGATGTTCATTAGTCATTCAAAGATTTGTTTAAATGATTTTGCTGAATGCTGACGGCAAACGAGAAAGTAATGTTTGCCTTTCTATTACTAACAATATAAAAGCAATCGTTATAATACTTTTTTTGTATACATTTTAATTCCTTTGTTTAACAGTTCTATCTGATTATTAGACAGACTTCTGTCCGTGGACAGAACTGTTAACGACGGCAGCTAACAAGAGGGAGAATGTGAGCACTGTGTGTTCAGGCGCTGCCGTTCTCAGCGCCGTCAAAATAAAAGTCCCGCCACAAACGCATCGGCCAAACAGAAAAACTTGTCGGCCGATGCCGATATTTTAAAAATGCCAAATATCGGCCGAGGCGATATATCGGTCGACCACTAGTTTTCATGATGACAGATTTATTCAGACATACATTAAATAATGAAGACAACAGGTTATGTAGAAATATAATGAAAATACAGTGCATCTATTTTGCAAAATGCTCCTCTCTAGAGTTGCTTTTTCTAGCTGACAAACAAGTTTATTTTGTGCTATAACTAGTAGTTAAGAGGAAGAGATGATCAGTTCATGTGCCGATTGAACTGAGGGGTCTACAGCGATGTCACACTACTTTAAACAGCACCAAACCAATATTTCTTGTTTAATTTCATAATAACACTGACAGAATTTGAAAGCTGAGACTTTGTTTCATGTCAAATGTAACAAAGCACAAACCTTAATACAATTAAGCTTTCGAAAAATAAGATTTGATTAACATCAAGAAATATATATTTTCAATCCAACCCTAATATATAGTGTTATGCTTATAGAACTGAAACTTGCAAAACAGACACTAGCCTCAAAATGCAGCCCTGAGAACTAAACCTACAAAAATACTGTGCTCAAAAAAAAAGAGAACTTTGCTGCTTTCTTCCCCACACTTCACTGACATTTCAGTTCGTTCAATAACAACACAGTTTGCCACATACGGAGAAAGGAACCAATGGACATAATAAGCACTTGGAAGAACAACCTATAACAAAACCATAATTGGGCAAGGCAAGGAAAGGAGATGTTTCTTTGTAGCTGTACAATGAGAGAATACATACGGACCTAATAGGTAAAGAACAGACAATAACGTCAAGTATATGAGCTTGAAACAGGAGGGGATGTTTCAAATGATCACATCAGCCTGAAGAAACGAAATGAATGTACTTTGTTACACACTCCTTATGCTCTTCAAAGACGCTGTTTTGGTGTACAAACTATGCCATTTCTTTACTTTACATTCAATACCAAAATGGGTTCACAAATTGATTCAACATTTAAACACTTAATGTACAGAGATGACCATGACTATACCATTTGTAAATTGCAGCTCTGTGGTGTTTGAAAAATTAACATCTTTAGCACCAAACCTAATACACCTGTTCCTTATGAGACAACTGGCATGAACAAAATATGATCCATTTGCAGGGTTTTTCCTTCATAGAGAATCATGAGGTGGCCGCCTCCGCCAAATTGTGTGGCTGTCGACAAAACTCAGGCAGGCAGTCATGTGCAAGCGTCACTGAACAGCGTCTATTAGGGCTTTTAGTCCAAAAGTGCACATATTTGGAGAAATACTGATATTTTTATACATATTTACATAATTTCTTTACACAAAATCTTAATTTCTATTCATTTTCCACTGATTTATGTGATCTGATGAGCATTAGGTGCTCCCAGCACTGTCTCAGTATGTTTTCTCTGAACGAGCCGTTTTAGGCAGGCGTGGTTGACTCTTAACTTTTATAAAGAATATCTCTTTGGATTTGAGACTTTAGTCTTTGCAACTTTACAGATCTTCTTTATGCACCAAGAGCTTGTAACACTCCAAAGAGAAAGGAAAAATTGAATCGCATCATATGACCCCTTTAAGGCCGTTCCACACTGAGAGCGATGCGAAAAAGCGAGGCGAATCACCGACAAACAGTGCTTTCACACCGAACGCGAAACGATTGTTCGCCTTCTGCTAATTCACGCCTGCACGCTAGGTGGCGCCGACCAACAATGCATTTTTCCTCAGATATGTATCTCATACATGGATTTAACATCGTCCACTGCTTAATATACAGCATTAAATAAATATAGCTAAATAAAGTTAGGTTCTACACCAGAAACACAAACTATCTATAATGCTTACAAGAAAACTTCGTAAAATATAAATAGAAGTACAATTAGCATCAAGCCACATTTGAAAATGTATGTAATTATTAATGTATTCGCTTAAAACCCACTTTAAACCATCATCGAATGCTTGTAATAACTCCCGATTGTGATCTATATTTGATTTTGATTCTAGGCAGACATGCACTCTTTGTATGTTTAATAACGCCACACTGCTTATTGTCATAAACATCCTTTATTGTTATAAAAATACCATGAGCTGTATACAAAACACATACAGAAAATATATCGTCATAATCATATGTCTACGTGCTTTCATATTTCATGTGTAGAAAAATGTTTCCCTCGAATTTATTAATATGGAAGATCTAGAGTGAATGCGCTCTGACTCATAACACTCGCGCACGTGGAATAAACGATGATGACATAATTCAGTGGATAATTAATAGAAATTATATTAAGAACATGTGAGAATAAATCTGTTCTCAGATACCAAAAATAACAAACTCGTCATCCACTCTCTTCTCTCTCGGGATACTCTTCTTCTGTGTTAGTAGTTTAACTGGTTTTCGAAACAGCCGCACCACTCTTGCCTTTTTGTGCAACAGCAGCTGCTCCGGTCATGTGATCCTAGTTCAAATTAGGGCTGGGTGATATAGCTAAAATATGTATCAACAATATAATGTTTCATATTGTTCGGTATCGATATTTATCGATATCAATTATTGACATTTTATAACCTTTTTTAAACAAAGAGCAATAGGAAAAAAAAGTTTAAATTTAACCACTGTATTTTTAAAATAACCCAATTTATTGAGACAAACAACAAATATTTTTTGGTTTTAACAGTCAAACACACAACAAAAATTAAACAAATATTTAATTTCTAATGTTTTATATGCAGATTAAATAGGTCTTAAGGAAACTTTTGGCTTGTCTCCCGAGGCCACATGAGGGCGCAATGAGCAAAATAATGCAGTACATAAATAGGGCTGTCGCGATAACCACAATACCTATGGACGAGCAAATCACAGAGGAATGCAAGAACCGCAGAAACTGCGATTTTTGCGTGTTTTCTTTTTTCGTAAGGTTATGCCCTTCTCATTTTACACTTCATGCATGTGGACAGAATATTAAACAAGTTAGTAATGATAACGATCTTATTGTCAGGTTTATGTTCTGTTATGTGGACCGTTATTTTGTCATTCTCTTCCGTTTAATTCACT